TGCTGCTACCTCGCTGATGCAGGAATCAAGCGAGGGAAGCCCCTGGAGCCCCTATGGGGGCAGCGATGTGAGCCTCCATCCCTTTCACACGCATCCATTCATCTGGGCCCTCCTTCTCCAAATTCAAGCTCCACTCACTATGTAGCAGTTTTGGTTCCTGCCTGCCCACCCACCCCGTACCCTGATGCCCTGGGCACCCAGCAGGAGAGCTGACCAACAGGCCTGAGGAGAGAGCATGGGCACTGACTGAGCACCAAGGCCTGGCCCTACTCCCGGGGGTCACCAGATGCCTGGCCTCAGCCCCACAGGTGTGCATCACGCCCCGAAAGCTCACCAGCACCACACCGAGCTGAGGCCCAGAAGTTACTGGATTGAGTCTCAGCCCAGGACAAGGACCAGGGCCTCGGAGGGAGAACTGGAGGTTGGCCAGGCCCTCCTGGGAGAGTGCAGAAGAGAAGGTCCCAGGCTGCCTCTGAGCTCTCCACAGACCAGAGGGGCCTGTCCTGTCCCACTCAGGGTATGCAACCTACCCGTGTCACCGGGGAAGGGACACTCTTGATGGCGCATTCTCTGCAAAAGTAAGTTGCCTGTAAAGCCTCACTGTTCTGACAGTGGGGATGTGTGCTTTCAGGATGGGCTCGCTGTCTGCCTGAGGATGACTCATCTGCCTCACACCAACCCGCCTCCTCCCACCAGCAGTCCAGCTGTGGAGAGCAGAGCTGAAGGGCTGAGGTCATGAGGCCTCCAGAGGCCTGGAGCAGTCAGCAAAGGGCCCTCCGCGCCCCCAGAGCACCAACTCCAGTACCGCAGCAGGCAGGACTGCCCAGCATGCATGTCTCAGGGAGGATGCAGGTCTCCATGGCCCACAGGTGGACAGATGACTGCTGGACTCCTCAGCGACTCATTCATGGGGTGGACAGGGTTCCTGAAGCCCTTGAGAATGTGCCTCCTGGGCTGTGTGCTCAGTGAGTTTCCTGCATAATTGAGCCCCACTGGGGATGCAGCGCCGACTGAGGGCAGGGCGCCCTGTGTGTGGGCCTGTCCTACCCGCAGAGGTCAGTGTGATGTTGGGGCCTGCAGGGGATGCCAGTCCTGGTGAGGTCAGACCCAGTCCGCTCCCCTACTGGGTATGATGTCTGCAGGATACCTCCCCCTGTCCTGCTGAAGGGGGTGGCAGGGCTGGGGGCACTGGAGCAGAAAGCCATGGTCTGTCTCGAAACTGGAAATGCTTTGGCAACAACTGATACACTGGTTACAGAGCTGACACAGCCCTCCTCCTAGTCCACATCTTAGAGCATGGGCAGCAGCTTGCTTGGTACATGGACACCCAATGGGGGAAATGAATTCACAAACCAGTGGTTCTTCACTTTAGGAAAAGGTGCCTGGTTGTTTATGAGCTTCAACTTTGGGGCTTCCATGGTGGCTCAGTGGTAAAGAATCTGCCTGCCAATGCAGGAGACTCGTGTTCCATCTCTGATCTGGGAAGATTTCACATGTCAAGAGCAACTAAGCCTGTGTGCACAACTATGGAGGCTGTGCTCTAGAACCAGGGAGCTGCAACTACTGAGCACATGTGCCACAAGTACTGAAGCCCACACATTCTAGAGCCTGTGCTCTGCAACAAGAGAAGCCATCGCAATGAGAAGCCAGCACCCCACAGCTAGAGAGTAGCCCCCACTCACTGCAGCTAGAGAAAAGCCCATGCAGCAATGAAGACCCAGCACAGCCAAAATAAAAAATCTTTTTTTTTAAAAAAAAAGCAGGGACAATTCCTAAAAAAAAAAAAGCCTCATCTTCAAGATTTCTTCAGATTGTACATTCCTGAGTTTTCATTAAACATGTCATTGTACCACTCCCCTCATGTGTGGTGCACTTGATCACTCAGTTGTGCTCAACTCTTTGAGACCTTATGGACAGTAGTCTGCCAGGCTCCTCTGTCCACGGGGATTCTCTAGGCTGGAGAATACTGGAGTGGGTTGTTGTGCCCACCTCCAGGGGATCTTCCCAACCCAGGGATTGAACCCAGGTCTCCCGCTTTGCAGGTGGATTCTTTACCATCTAAGCCACCAGGGAAGCCCAAGAATACTGGAGTGGGTAGCCTATCCCTTCTCCAGTGGATCTTCCCAACCCAGGAATCGAACCAGGGTCTCCTGCATTGCAGGCAGATTATTTACCAGCTGAGCTACCAGGGAAGCCCTCCTCCCATCATATATACACACAATTTTAATGTGGGGCTGTGGTTAATAAAGGACAGTTTTCCTGCAAACTCATCACCATGAAGTCCCTACAGTAAGCAGGCTCACCTGCTCTGCCCTGGCCATTGGCCCAAACCCACCCCCAAAACCTTAGCTACGTAGGCCACACCTTCTGCGTGGGTTTGGTCAAGTGGTTCACTCTCATGGGACCCCTTCTGGCTGCACCCGAGTTATGCACAACCAGAAGGCAGATGCCGCAGGCTCACAGTCCTCTCTTCTGGGCCGACCTCGGGGCCTCCTGCCAGCAGTTACCCTGAACTTGCTCCCCAAGTCCTGCCTGAGCCAAAAACATCAGCAGTCACGGTCTCATGGGGAGGGAAGGTTATCACAAGTCAGTGCACTGGGGCCAGACAGCCTGGAGACCAGAGTCCTCAGCCTGGCTCCACAGCCAGCGCTCTGTGATCACAGGCAAGTGCCTCAGCATCGCTGAGCCTAGGAGGATCATCAAGAATGAACAGTTTATGTGAAGATCTTTAGAGGTTCTTTCCAGTTCCCATACTCTATTACTCTGTGAAAAGGAAATACCAGGGGAAATATCAAGGCAATACCCCTCATCGACCAGACGAAAGTTAACTTTCTTCCAGCCCATAAAGTAAAGAATTTCCCATAAGTCATGCGGTTGGAACTTTCCTCACAGTTTTTCTAACTCTTGTCAGTCAACAAACATCACCAGATGCCTGCTATGCATGTGGTACCTCCAGGGTTAGTCAGGGCTCTGAGGTTCCTGAAGGAAGTTTTAAATTAGGACTTAGCACAAAATAGCAACCGACTCCCACATACGCTGATCCTCCTGCGTGCTGGGCCTGCCGACCCTTTGCGTGTCCTGTTCCATCTACACATACGTTGGTCCAAATCCACTAAGCTGGTCTTGTGACTCCTGAGGGTCATTTCAAACATGGGTCACAAGAAGGACCCTCAGCATTCTGGGGCCACAGGGAGCACTGGCCAGAGCCAGGCTCCAGCAGGCAGTCAGCCTTGGAGTGGACTCAGGGGAAGGAGGCGAGTAAGCATCCCTGGTCAGGCCTGACCCCCATCGTCCTCCCACCTGGGGCCTCCCGGCGGCTCGTGGGCTGTCCACCACTGGCTACCTCCTTTGGCCTTTGCTCAGTTGAAGCTGCCAGGAGCCCTCCCCTTACCGACAGGTGCTCTGCTCCCCATTCTCACCACCCTCTAGGGTCCAGGCAGGTGGCCTCACTATCTGGATCGGGTAATGTCCCCAAGGGACCAGACAAGATGCTGTTTACTTGAGGGGCATGCTCCAATCAAAGCTGGTTTCATACTGAAAGGTCTGAAAACATCCAGAGGGACCTCCCTGGTGGTCCAGCAGATAAGATTCCATGCTCCCAATGCAGGGGGCCTGGGATCTATCCCTGGTCAGGGAACTAGATCCCACATGCCACAGGAGAGAGCGAAGATCCCGAGTGCTGCAACTAAGACCCCTCACAGCCATAAATATGCAAATGAAGTGAAAGTGAAAGTCGTGTCCGACTCTTTACAACCCCATGGACTGTATAGTCCATGGAGTTCTCCAGGCCAGAATACTGGAGTGGGTAGCCTTTGCCTTCTCCAGGGGATCTGCCCAACCAGGGATCGAACCCAGGTCTTCCATATTGCAGGTGGATTCTTTATCAGCTGAACCACAGGGAAGCCCCTAAAGTGAAAGCTCATTCAGTCGTGTCCCACTCTTTGTGACCCCATGGACTGTAGCCTGCCAGGCTCCTCTGTCCATGGAATTCTCTAGCCCAGAATACTGGAGTGGGTAGCCGTTCCCTTCTCCAGGGGATCTTTCCAACCCAGGGATTGAACTCAGGTCTTCCGCATTGCAGGAGAATTCTTTACCATCTGAGCCACAAGGGCAGCGCAAATATGTGAATAAGTATTTTTTAAAAGCGTGCACCAGAGAGAGAGGGAAAACACCCCAGGCTGTAGCAAAGCCAAGAGCATGAGAAGAAGCCACCTGGACAGCAAGGCCAATAATGGGAGTGACCCCTGCTGGGGACTGGGCCCGCCGTCCAGCACAGCCTGGGCAGCACAGTGGCCTGACCACTGGACACATCTCACTGGCTCTGAAAGACCAAAAGTGAAGAAAGGTAAAACGGCTCATCAACAATTTTTTTATGCAGATCCCATGTTGAAATGACAACATTTTTGGATATTGGGCCTAGTAGATTATACCATTAAAATGAATTTCACTTTTTATCTTATTTTTAACTTTCCACAATGTGGCTACAGGAAGACTGCAAATTACACGTGTGGTCTGAATTGCGGTTCCATCTGCGGCACTGACATAGAAATCTGGACTCCCGTCTTGGCTCAGCCCACCGCTAGCTGATGGTGACTGAGGCCAGCTCCCCAGACTCGGTTTCTTCCTGAAATAAGCCCACTTCCCTCACTGCTGGGGAAGAGCTGAGGGCCACCCACACCTACGAGGAGGCAGGCCTGTGCCCTGAGACCCAGAGGGCCCTGTGACCCCCTTGTGTGCGCTGCCCGTGGACGGAGCACCAAGGGGAGGACGACACTGCTCACATGTGTGTGAGGAAGTCTGTGGACATGTTATTAGACATCCTGACACCTGGCAATAAGTGTCTAATCCCAGCAAAGCAAGTAGTTCACCACGACTTTCCCGAAGAAGGAACTGAAGCATCTTGAGGAGGGGGTGCTTTTTTCTGAGCACGCTGGGCTTGGATCACCCTCCCCAAATGGCATCTGATGCCAAAGAAGTAGGACCACCCACTGGGCACTTACCTTCTCATTTTTCCTCTCGTCTGGTCTGCCTCCCCCGCTGGTGGGGCTGGATGCAGTCAGGCCCCCGGCGGTGCCCCCTCCAGCCTCCCCATTGAGGTTGGCGGCGCTGACGTTGGGAGGGGTGACGGCTGAGGCTGCCGAGGCGAGTGGGATGGCCGGACGGGGGCACTGCGTCACTGGCTGGGGGCTATGCTGAGGCGACCCCAAGGCGGGGGGCCTGAGGCCAGCGGGCAGGCGAGACGGGGAGTTCTGAGAGCGCAGGGGCGACACCGTAGCGGTCGGCCGGCCCTGGATCTGGGCTGGGTGGGCAGCTGGGAGAGAGGGGTAGAGAGGGCGGGGGAAGGTCATTCTGCAGCCGGCAATCCTGGGGCTGTGGCCTTGCCCTCCCGCCCACACCTCTGCCTACGCCCTCACCTTGGCCCTTCCCAGGTTCCTGCAGTCTGAACTGCAGTTGTCTGCCAGTGATGAACCAGTACACTCCGGTTTTACAAACATCCTGTTCAACCCTTCTAGACCTGAAGCCCCTAGTGAAATGAAATGTTTCCTGCTTTACGCTCTACCAGTAAACAAGCCTTTTCCAAATGCACGTTTCTGAGCCCAGGTGAAACAAAGCCAGCTATCTGGAAGCCATCAGCTGCTTCCTCTCCGGTAAGCACTGAGGAGCTGGGGGGATGTGAGAGGCGACCATACCATTACATTCGCCTTCTTTGACGGTGAACAAGGAATTAGTCTGTGAACAATAAAGAAAGCAGGATTGGCCCCAGATAGCTATATGCATATGAAAGAAATGATTTCAGCAAGCCCTGATGCTTTCATCTTCCCATACCTGGAAGATCACTAAATCTTTTCATGTGAGAGATATAGTTTTCTCTTAATTAACAGTAATCTTTTAATATTTAGATTACCTACTTCTCCCTGCAAACTTGTATGTAGCCTGGCTCCTCCCCCACCTCCTCAAAGCATTCTGGATCACCTGAGATGCTGTATCCTGGGCTCGAGCCCTAACATTCCTACTGAATAAAACCTAACTCTCAGCTTTTAGGTTGTGTGTATTTTTTTTAGTGGACACTGTGGAGGAGCATGGAAGAAGCCTGGGGAGTCCCTGGGTTACCAGGCACCACTGGATGTGAGGGGATCTCTGGACAGTGTGGCTGGGCGGTCTCCACCTGGAACTGGAAGTTACAGCCCAGCCCCTGGCTCCCAAGCCCAGTGGTTTAGCTGGCCAAGCACCAGCCACGATCACCGACGAAGGCTCACCATCCACCCCCCTACCCCAGCGTAAGCTCTGCGAGGTGGGACCTTCATGTTTCATTCACTAACATGTTCCAAACAGCTGGAATGGTGCCTGGCACATAGTAAGCGCTGAATAAAATTGTTTCAGAACATTTGTGTCTGAGAAAAGAGAACTCGGCTGAAACACCTGTACTGATTTCACAGAACTAAACCACTGGAGAAGAAAAGAACACTTCCCAAGAGAGGTAGGGTTCACTCCACTGCTGGTACAAGGGTTAGAGTCCATGGGCCCTCAGTCGCCCGCCTGGCAGGACCCAAATGTGCGCCTGTTACCGGCTAAGCCTGCTGGTCTGCGACACCAGAGTAGACGTGGGCTGCTGGAGGAAAGACTGTGGACATGCCACTGCTCTCAGTCTGCCCCCCACTTCTCTAACCTGTCATCTCAGTAACTCTGGGCCCCTGAATCCTGTCAGCTCTCACAGGTCCACTCCACCTCCCAGGACTGGGTTCAGTGGGCGCTTTACAGAAAGCAAGGGAGTGAAAAATGATCTGCATATTGTCACCTCTGTCCTTCCCTCACTCTCAGGCCATCATGTCCTCCACATGGAGGAGTGGATGCTGGAAAGTCCACAACTTCAGGGCCATCTCTGTCTGGACAGACCCCTCAGGCTCCAGGGCCCAGGGCATGCACTCAAGTTTTTCCTGTCCGTCACTCTGCCCCCTCCTGCAGCTAACCCTGCCCTCAGGCCAGAGCTAGACTCACCTCCAAGTCCAGGTGGGGCTCCATTCCCTCCCCTACTCCAGGAGAGGTCTCAGTACAGAGCACGCCCAAGAAGGGCTCAATACTGACCACCCCTAGGAGGGGGCTCAGTATTGACCACCCCCAGCAAGGGGTTCAGTACTGACCACCCTCGGCATGGTCTCCGCCCTTAGATGTCCTCAAGTGGCCACCTGTCAGTCTTCTGCAGGTGGTGAGAGTCAGCCAACACCATCAGCTTCATCCCGGAGCCCAGGAGTCCAGCACATCAACTCTCTTGTTTCCTATTTGTTTACATCCACACAATTGCTTCTTGAAGTATCAAAATAAACCATCCTCTCTGTGTCCAGAACAAGGGGCAGGAGTCCCACATGATTCACTCTTCCAGGAGTCTCAACTCACTTCCATACTAGAAACACACCTTCTCACTCCATTCTTTCATCATGTTATCTGGACAAGAGCAACTGTGACTCCCCTCTCATCAAATTAATGGACACTTTTATGTTTTCAGAAAAAGTACTATTAAAAAAGTACTCAGTCATTTGTCTTCACACCAATACCACACTGATGACTGTGGCTTTTTCAGTTCAGTTCAGTTCAGTTGCTCAGTCGTGTGTGACTCTTTGTGACCCCAGGGACTGCAGCACACCAGGCCTCCCTGTCCATCACTAACTCCTGGAGCTTACTCAAACTCATGTCCATCAAGTCAGTGATGCCATCCAACCATCTCATTCTGTCATCCCCTTCTCCTCCTGCCTTCAATCTTTCCCAGCATCAGGGTCTTTTCCCATCAGGCTCTTCACATCAGGTAGCCAAAGTATTGGCGTTTCAGCTTCAGCATCAGTCCTTCCAATGAATATTCAGGACTGATCTTTAGGATGGACTGGTTGGATCTCCCTGCAGTCCAAGGGACTCTCAAGAGTCTTCTCCAACACCACAGTTAAAAGCATCAATTCTTCAGCACTCACCTTTCTTTGTAGTCCAACTCTCACATCCATACATGACTACTGGAAAAACTATAGCTTTGGTTAGATGGACCTTTGTTGGCAAAGTAATGTCTCTACTTTTTAATATGCTGTCTATGTTGGTCATAGCTTTTCTTTCAAGGAGCAAGCGTCTTTTAATTTTATGGCTGCAGTCACCATCTTCAGTGATTTTGGAGCCCCCCAAAATAAAGTCTGTCACTCTTTCCATTGTTCTCACATCTATTTGCCATGAAGTGATGGGACTATATGACATGATCTTTTCTGAATGTTGAATTTTAAGCCAACTTTTTCACTCTCCTCTTTCACTTTCATCAAGAGGCTCTTTAGATATTCTTTGTTTTCTGCCATAAGGGTGGTATCATCTGCATATCGGAGGTTATTGATATTTCTCCTGGCAATCTTGATTCCAGCTTATGTTTCATCCAGTCCAGCATTTCTCATGATGTACTCTGCATATAAGTTAAACAAGCAGGGTGGCAATATACAGCCTTGATGTACTCCTTTTTCTATTTGGAACCAGTCTGTTGTTCCATGTCCAGTTCTAACTTGCTTCTTGACCTGCATACAGATTTCTCAGGAGGCAGGTAAGGTGGTCTGGTATTCCCATCTCTTGAAGAATTTTCCACAGTTTATTGTGATTCACATAGTCAAAGGCTTTGGCGTAGTCAATAAAGCAGAAGTAGATGTTTTTCTGGAACTCTTTTGCTTTTTTGATGATCCAACAGAGTTGGCAATTTGATCTCTGGTTCCTCTGCCTTTTCAGCTTGAAATCCAGCTTGAACATCTAGAAGTTCATAGTTTATGTACTGTTGAAGCCTGGCATAGAGAAATGTGGCTATACAATGTGTCTTAAAATCAGTGTTAGCTTTCAACTTTGTTTTTCTTTTCCAGGTTTTTTTGACCAAGGTCCTTTGCATGCCTATATGAATCTGGGTAGCAGACTGCCAGGTTCTACCAAAAAATTGGGTTAGATCTTGATTGGCATTCCACTGACTCTATAGGTCAGTTTTTGGAGAATAAACACCTTAACAACATCAAGTTTTCTTACTCCTAAATAAAGTATATCTCTGGAAATGTTTAAGACTTCCTTAATTTCTTTCTTTAATTTGCAATATTTTGGAGTGTTCAAGTCTTATTCATCTTTTATCAGATTTAATCCTAAGTAATTTATGTTTTTAATGCTATCAAAATTGGTATCATTTTTAAAATGCCAATTTCCAAAAATCATTCCTGTTATAGAGAAACAAAATTGGCTTTTGTATGTTGACCTTGTATTCTGTAACCTTTGTGTAGACGCCTGTTTCCACCTGGTACAATTTTCCTTCTTTCTAGAGATGACTGTTTGACATTTTTCATGGTGTGTGATGACATCTTTTTAACTTCACTGTGTCTGAATAACTCTTTATTTTGTTTTCATTTATGAGAGACATTTGTTGGGTGTAGAATCCTAGCTTGACAGATGCATTTCTTTCAGGACTTGTTAAGTTTTCCACTGTCTTCTCACTTGTAGTGTTCCTGATAAGAAATCTACTGTCACCCTTATTTTTTTCCTATGCTATGTATCTTTTCTTTTGTGCTACTTTCAAGGTTGTCTTCATCACAGATTTTGAACAATTTGATCATAATTTGCCTTGTTGTAGTTTTCTCCATGTTCCTTGTGCTTGGGAGTCACTGAGTGTCACTGACCCATCAGTTTACAGTTTTTTTTTTTTTTTTAATGAAATTTAGAACAGTTTTGGTCATTATTTATTCAACTAATTTTTCTGTCCCACCCTTGTCTCCTTTACTTTGGGGACTCCAATTAAAAATATATTTGGCCACTTGAAGTTGTTCTACTGCTCACTGATGCTCTGTTCATTTTTAAAAATTCTCTTCTATCTCTGTTTCACAGTTTTTATTGCTAGATCTTCAAGTTCACTACTATTTTCTAAGCAATGTCTAATCTGCCATTAATGCCATCCAGTGTGTGATCTCACACTGTGTAGTTATTTTTAGAAGCTTGATTTCAGTCTTTAAAATATCTTCCATGTTTCTACTTACCTTTCTGAGCATATGAAATGCAATTATGACATCTTTTTTAGCATCTTTGTTCTGGGTCAGCTTTGATGACTGGTGGGTTGATCTCATCTCTGTGGGGCATGTTTTCCTGCTCTTCTGCATGCCTGGTGCTTCATTATTGCCATCAGACACAGGTGGGCGAGATGCGGCTGCCCCAGCTGGGTGAGCTCCTCTGCACGGTGGCTGGTGTCCTGGGAGCTGGCTGGTGGGAACAGGCACTTCCCAGCAGAGTCCTTGTGCTCTTGGCCCAGGGGGGTCCCTCACATGCCTGCCCGTCGGTTCTCAGTGTCATGAGCCAGGGACATTGCACTCTCTGGGGCTCGGTCATCCAGACCCTCATCTCCGTACCCCAACCCAGAGAGCCTTCTGGACTGGCCCTCGTGCTCTCCCTGTGCTGACACCTGGCCTTCTCTCCAGGAGGTGAGCTGGGACCTTCCTCCGTGTTCTCATCTCTCATGGATCACCATCCTTGGTCTTCTAGTATCCAGGGTCTCACAACCACTGTTTTATACATTCCTTGTTTTTTTCAGTTGTTTCTGGTGGGAGGGTAAATCCTGACCTAATTGCTTTACCTTGGCCATAAGCAGAAATCTAGCTTTATCCTTTTCATATAAAAATCTGGTTATATCTATTATTTTAAACCCTCTTAGGATCCCTGCTACCCACAGGATAAAAACTGAGGTTCCTAGACCCAGTGGAATAGAAACAGCCTAATCTGCTCCCCTCAGCTTTGTCACAGGGCTCACAGCCGCCAATACGCCTGCCCTCTGGGGCTCAGAGCCTCTCTCATGCTCCACCATTGCACACTCTGCTCTGAGCTTTAGACCTAACGTCCACCTTGCCTCTGCAGAGAAACTGTCACCAACACACTGCTCCTCCTTCCCACCTCTGTCTCAGTCACATTAAAACAGAATCACTCCAAGCACAAACCATGGTTTTGCTCATCTCCATGTCTTTGTGGCTGGAATTCCCCATTTGTCTGGTCCACCCAGGTACTTCCTGTCTGTCCTTTAGGAACCAAGGCAGCATCACATCCTCCTGGAGATGGTCCACAGGCCCAACAGTCGCCCCCTCCTTCCTCCTTGGTCTGAGGGAGGCACCCCTCCTGCTCCCTACAGCCTCATACCCCCCAGGCCTCCACCCAGTGCTTTTCAAATTCCACTGTAACCTGGGTCTCCTCCTCTTCCTCTCTAAGGGGTGGGATAGAAATGGGTCCAGACTCCAGCAGAGCCCTCATGCACCCAGCTCTCTCCCAGTGCATTTTGCTGATGAATGGCTATGTGGGGCCCTTGCCCTCTGGGCACCATGGCCAAGGCAACCAGGCCTTTGTCCAACTGCCTGACTGTGGTTGGGTCTGAGGACACTAACAAGGATCTCCCAGGTGCTGGAGCTGGGGTTTGCTGAGATGGGGCAGTCACTGCGGTAAGCGATCCTCTGCCTGTGCACACTGTCAGTACTGTGTTCTTGCTCTCCAGACACAGAAGGAAGTGGAAAATGCTGTGGGGACATCTGATTACTGCTATGATGGGGGCATCCTGTATCCTGGCTGCAGCACATGAGTTGGGGACGAGCCCTGGGCTGGAACGCACCCGGCATGCCATTAAACCATTCTACACCTCACTCTCCCACACGTGAATTAAACAGATGGAAGAGCATGCCTGTTACCCATGCAGGTTACCATGGTGATTGAGGACAGAGAGAGTGTTGTTTTGCTCTGGCTGGCCAATTTCTTTGATTCTGCTGTTATTCCATTCCATAAATGAGATGAGCAGATCATATTCCTCTTTGAACTGGTGGGTTCCTCACGTGGTGGGGTGTGGACAGGCCCTCGTAGGGCACTTGGTGCAGAGCTGGGTGGCTGGGATGGATGTACACTCCATGAGGAAGGCCTGCCGTGGCTCTCAGCATCGTGGAGCACAGAGCAGGCTGGGGAATGGATGAGGGGGTCACAAGCAGGAGGACCTGCTTGGGAGCTCCAGACCCAGGAGACCAGCACCTCAGCGCACATCTCCCCAGCCATGGAGCAGCAGGTGGGCACTCCCTGGACATGCTATCTCTAGGCCTCAGGGGCTGCATCCACAGCTGGAGGCTACAATGAGCACCATCAGCTGTCCTGAGCCACAGCCGGCTGGAAGGTAATGGCTGGGCCGAGAGGTCAGCCACAGGTGATATCACTGTAGATTCTTCTAGGGCAGAGACAACTAGCTCTTCTCCAGGGCTCTACTGGCCAGGTGAAAAACAGACCTCACTTTTCACTAATTTAAGGGAAAAAAAACACATATGAAGGACTCCTGTTTTCAGTTGCTAAGTTGTGTTCGACTCTTCATGACCCCATGGACTGCAGCACACCAGTCTTCCCTGTCCTTCATCATCTCCCACATTTACAAAGTGAGTCTTAGCAAACCTACACCAAGGCAGGGCCAAGCCCACCCACGAGGCTTCCCTGGTACAGAGCCCACTGTGGCTGAATAAGACCACCCAGCATGAGGCTGGACACAAGGTGGGACTGCTGTCAGGGACTTTCCTGGTGGCTCAGTGGATAAGAATCCACCTTCCAATGCAGGGGACACAGGTTTGATCTCTGCTCCAGGAAGATTCTACATGTAACTAAGCCCGTGTACCACAACTATTGAGCCTGTGCTCTAGAGCCCGTGAGCTGCAACTACTGAGATTATGTGCCGCAACTACTGAAGCTTGGGCACTCTAGAGCCCGTGCTCCACAACAAGAGAAGCCACCACAATGAGAAGCCCAAGCACCACAATAAAGAATAGCAACTAGAGAAAGCCTGTGCACAGTAATGAACACCCAGCACAGTCAAAAATAAAATAAATAAATTGTTGTTGTTTAGTTGCTAAGTCGTGTCCGATTCTTTTGCAACCCTATGGACTGTAGCCTGCCAGGCTCCTCTGTCCGTGGGATTTCCCAGGCAAGAATACCAGAGTGGGTTGCCATTTCCTTCTCCAGGGAGTCTTCCTGACTGAGGGAATAAACCCTCTCTCGTGCACTGGCAAGTAGATTCTTTACCACTGAGCCACCAGGGAAGCCCAAAATAAAATAAATAAATCATTTGGAAAAAGAAAGAGATTATTTTTGAGAATGGGGTCGGAATGGAAAGGAATTCTGAATCATTTAAATGAAACTCAGAGGCACATCCTCCCATCCTGGATCCCTTTCACCACACAGTGATAGTGTTACTGGCTTATGTGTCAGGAAGTTACTGGCCTGGCTCCCAGGAGGACCACGTGAGTCAAGCTTAGCAGTTCTTCTTAGCTCACTGCCAAGCTTCCAAGCAAGATGCGTTTACCCTGTTCACACCTTCAGGAACCTCCCCACACTTCCTCTCGTCTCATGCTACACAGGGAGCCACGGAGACTGTCTTGACTTCTGGTCGGTCTTCTACTGATGAAGCTGCAGGAGGAGCAATGGCCAACACTCCTCAGCCTCAAAGCATCTCAGGAAGCACCTCTGTGGATTGGTCTCATTACCAGCTCTGTCCTGGAGTGGGGGTGCTGCCTCATCAGCAAACCCCTTGGCGCGTGGCATGTAGATGCAGGTGACCCACGGTGGCTCACAGGGCCACCCAGAGGTGACAAGGTAACCTCACTGGTCCAGCCAGTCCTCTTGCTGCATGAAGTGTATAAACACCTGTGAATTTTCTAATCCATTCCAGCTGTAGGACAGGCTACGAAGATATGTCAACATGTTCCCCAGGACTAGCATAAATTCATGATTACAGGGCACCCCTCCATGGATCGCTCAAGACCTGGGTCAAAGGACGCTCATAACTCGTGTCCCTGAGATCACCTTCCTCAAATTTTCCAGCAGAGTGAAGTCCCCAGGAGGCTGCTACATACCAGGGGGGCCGGCGCTCCGGGCCTGGCTGGCCGCTGGCTGGACTGTGTGCCGCAGACAACTGCCCAGTGGGGGAGAGGCAGCCTGGTGCTGGGCCGGGACCTGGGCTGTGGTAAGGGGAAGGGCTGGCCTCAGGGCCGTGGCCGGGCTGCTCAGACTCCCACCACCTGGGTGCATGGTTGTGGCCATCCCTTTGGCCAGGGGAGACCCTCCGACTGCATTATTCCGGGGTGGCCCAGCCCCTCCTACAGGAATCCTGAGGAAATGAACAGAATGAAGTCAGGGGAGGGCACAGATACACCCACACCACACAGACTGATGAAGAACCACTCAACCCCTTGGCTCCGGAGCTGGAGGCCACACCATCCAGGACAAGTCCTACAGCAGCACCAGGATGACCTGGGCATGTGGTGTCTAGAGGCCCGGCTGGACAGCAGAGCCCCTGACAACCACACGGTCTTTCCATATGCATATGTGCATATGTGCATATGTGACAACCAGTGAAAGAGCCGTAGGAAAGAGGGAAGTGATGCTGATCAGATATTTTGTTCCAGAGTCACTGCCTTGATTTAGTCTAACAAACAGCTGTGTGTCCCCAAACAGAGGCAGAAGGAATGGGCTTGGCACATCTGGCAGGCAGCAGGAGGCAGGGGCCTGGCTCCTTCTGGATGAAGGACTCCTGGGAGTCCAGGAAAGGGCACAGACAAGCCTCATGTTCGCGGTTTTATCCCAGACTTTCCAGAGAAAGTGATGTGGAGAGTCCAGGACACACCGTGGAGCACAGGACTCTGAGACAGGCCCCGGCGGCTCCTCCCCAGCACGGGCCAGCCTGAACCATGCACCAGCACCAAGCGTGTGGGGCTGGGGTGGGGAGCTCCTGGGATTCATTGTCAGGATCACATGCCTTCCATTTGTCCAAGAGCCGGGAAAACTCCCCATCTGTCTCCTCTGGATCTCAGCCGTGAGGGTCGGGGAGCCACCCATGGTGGGAGCAGGCAGAGCCTCTGCAGAGCAGCTGTGGGGAGAAGGGCCTCCCTGCACAGGGCCACAGGACCACGGGGCTCACAAGGTGGGCCTTTCCAGGAGGGCCTGGGGGATGTGGCTCCCGGGCCTGCTGCAGTGAAGGTACAAGTCAGGCCGCGTCAGTGCAGGTCTGGGTGTTTACTTTGCCTGGAGTCTTATTGCCAAGAGAGTAGAAGCTGGTGGGGTGGGGAGAACAGGGGGTGGGGTGGGGGTAGTCTGTAGCAGGTCTCTGCAGGTCCTGGGCTGTGAACACAGGGCTGGGGCGTTCCGGGCTCCCCGGAGCAAGGCCAACCCTAAACTAAACCTTCAGGGGACGTCCCTCTATATGGAAACATCTGACAACCCTGGGTCACCTCGAGCTAACTGTTAAACGTGCTTTTGCCAGTTTATAAAAATAATATAACAGTAAATTCATAAAACATAGGAAATTACAAGGAAATAAAAAATTAATTACTCATAATGCTCCACTCAGTAATAATGGTTAACTTTTGGGATCATGGAATCTTTCCTTCACGTGTGTGAATGGCATGTGCTTTTTGCACACACACCCACTGTACTCATACATGTGCACACGTACATGCATGCACCTGTGCCCATTAGATCCAGCCCCGTGACACGCCCCTGTGTGGTGCTCCAGCTCCTCCCAGCCACCTTCGCCCCGGGGCCACGGGCAGCGGGCAGCAGGAAGGCAGGTGAGGCACAGTCCCTGGTCTCCACTTGGCTATGGCCCCAGGAGGCTGGCAGCGAGGGCCTCACCTGGAGACGGGTGTCACATAGTTGCCAGGGAACACGCCCGAGAGTCCGGTGCGCAGGGCCGTGCCCTTGAACCAGCCGTCCCGACACTTCTCCAGGACACGGTATGTGTCGCCCTTGCGCAGCTCCAGCTCGTCACTCTTCTGGGGCTTGTAGGCGTAGAGTGCCAGGTACCTGTGGGTAAGAGGCAGGTGGTGAGCGGTGCCATGGACAGAAGGGCACCCTTGCACACTTGGTGGGCAGCAGGGACCAGAAGGAGACCCCGGGGAAACACCCCTGGAGCCACGGGCTCCACACCCTTCACCAACCAGCAGGCTGAACTCAGAGAAGACCTGCCAGGACCAGAAGCGGGGGGCGGGCTGTCTGGGCCCATTTTGTTCTCTTTTCTCTGATTAATACCTGATGCTCTGGGCAAGAGAAGGCTTTAGGGAAAACGGGTGAACTACACAGCCTTGGATGTGTTTCCTCATTTAGTCCCACCTGCCCACTCACCCATCCATGCCACCTGGAGGAGATCTGGAGGCCCTTTTAAAGAAAAACCAGCCCAATTAGGGACTCCTTAGATAGGTGACTAACTGAAATTCTACTTTTAAGATCAGTGACTAACTGAAATTCTACTTTCAAGATTTTTTAACAGCTTGGTGGTGTGAGCCCTAGCCGGGGGCTTAGACACTGTGCTCCTCATTTGCCAGGACTCTTTGAAATGTCCTGAGCCCCTGGCGCCACCCTCAGAACCTCTGATAAGTGCTTTGCTACTTTGGGGGTTTGTGGAAGGGGTGGTTTGACCTAACAGAGAGAATGTTTTCAGGCAAATACCCTGCTTGCAAGATCTGGGAAGGAAAAGTGGTGGGAGCTTCACTCCAACAAAGAAATGAGATGCATTAAAACAATTTTTTTTGGCTGTAACCATGTGGCATGTAGGACCATAGTTCCCTGAGTAGGGATCGAACATGTGCTCCCTGTAACGGCAGCATGGAGTCTTAACCACTGGACTGACAGGGAAGTCCCAAGATGCATTTCTAAGAAGCATCATCTCCTGGGCCTCCTTTCAGGACGGGCCTGGTGGGCACACTGCCCCTGCTGGGCCCCAGGAGCCTCCTTCTTTGCCCCCTAGCCACCCTCCCAGCCTCCGGGACTAGGTGGCTTCAGGGGCTATCTGCATTGTCCACCTGCCCTGTGGAGCATGAAGCTGTGGACAGAGGGCCATCCGAGGGAGAGGTGCTGTCCCTGCTGGAGAGAGAAGGACCTCAGGCAGTAAGTGAGAGGCTCAGAGGTTCCAGTAGCCAGGGCAGCCCTCCCCACAACATGGGATAGTCCCCCCACATACCTGGCAAGCCTCCCCCACACCCAGCACAACGCCCACTGGCACCTACTTCCACAGTAGCGTCAACCCAGATTCTAAAAATAAGACATGTGTTAGCAACTGCAGTAAAGACCCGACGAGTTGTGTGTATGTGTGTGTGTCTGTCTGTCTGTAATCCAGGGAAGGGCCTTCAGATGACAGAGTGATCTCTGGGGATGAGCTGATGATCCTACTCAAAATTCTGGAATCCCCAAGTCATTCAGGAAACAAGGTTTGTTTTCACCTCTCAGGCTCTTCCCATCACACTGAGAATGAGTTATTTTCAGACTGTGGGTCTTAAGGCAGCCTGATTAAGCCTTTACATCGAAACAGTCTTCTTTCAAAATCCCACTTGTACTTTAGAGAAACACACCGTGGTTCCTAATGAGGTAATAAAGGCAGAAAACGGGCAACAGAAGTGAACTTGGCTGAAACCACCACCCGACTCCCCAAACTTGGACCAACTACCGGCACCATTGGGTGGGGGCACCTCCCCCACCCCCGCCACTCTCGCCTCTGGGACCACGGGCTCTGCTGAGCTGAGTCGTGAGGGAGTCTGCAGGCAGATCTGGATTTATCCTGTGTCCTGCCTCCTCTAGAGTCATGGCAGTAGGAGGTGACGTTTCTCTCCAGTTTCAGCTGTTCATTCATTTATTAGATGTCCAGTGATTCTGGCGCCCTTAAGCGCTAACCATGCAGGGAGACAGGCTTGCTTCCAAGGACCTCTTCACACCAAGGGACGGGGCACCCTCCTCCATCATCAGTCAAAGCTCTGTTTAGGAGGCACTGCTGTCACCTGTGGGACAGCGTGCAGCGCCCACCCTCCTCAGGTGTCTGGAGTCCAGGCAGGGTGGGAAGCTGGAGTCTGTTATGGTCTCACTGGAGCCCCACATGAGCTCTGAGGCTGGGCTACTTACTCATTTCACAGCTGAACAAACTGAGGTTCAAAAAGATGGAGTGTCTCTGTTTATGCAGCGAGTTGGAGGCAAGCAGTTTTTCTTGGCCCCAGGGCCTGGTAGGCCCGGTGGGAAGCTGGGGTGAGGCCCGGAGCAGGGGGCCCTGAGGCCCGCTGTCTTCATTTTTATTGTGAATTCATTCTCTGAGGAGAAATCCATTCTCTGGTCTCAATAGTTCAAGTTCAGTCTTTCCGTGTGCACTGCTGGGGGGTGGAGTGTAAACCAATCTAACTTCACCTGGCACACCCCAGCCCCCCAACCTGTTCCCTTCGATGCCCCAGGGGAAGCCAGATTGCCTTGCCAGCATTTTTCTTGCACGTGGGGCTGCTTGTCTGCCTGTGGCTCGTGCATACACCTGGGATGCTCCGGAGGGGCCGGCGGCTCCCAGCCTGATGTCTGCAGCTCTGTGGTCTCTGCAGTGCACTGGTCACTCAGTCCTGGAAGTGTGGCCACAGGAAAGGGTGCATCATCTGCACCCCTTCTGTCCTCACCCCCTCGGCCGTGCCCGCCAGCTTGGAGGGTGCCCTCAGCTGGACCTTGGAGCTGCAGGCCGATGCCCACAGAGCCCAGGGCTGGGAGAACCAGGTAGTGCCCACAGGATTCCCGGTACTCCACCTGCCTCTCCCCTCCGCCTCCTGTCCACTCCTCCTCCACTCCCTCTCTACTCCTTCCAAAGGACTTCAGCTCTGCACATGCGTCCATAGAGGACACAGCACCGGCTGCTCCAGAACTGGCTTGGGATTCATTTGTCTCGGTGGATTCACTCACAAAGCTGGTACTGAAGGTACTTGGTTCAGGCAAGACTGGGAGGTCTGGTTCACAACACTCTCCCCATGGCCGGGTGGCCGGCAGGGGACTCTCCTCCCCATTGGAAGAGGCGTCGCCCCCTCCAGGCGAAGCAGCCCCGGGGGAGTGAGTCTGGGGGCACGTCAGCCCTTCCCTGGCACCCTCAGCGGGACAGCATGCAGTCTGGACACGCGGCAGCTGTGGCCGCCCAGCCTCGACTTGCAGCTGTGTTCCCATGCGCAGCCTGCTGGGAACAGCCGCCACTCACCACATAACTGCTCTTTTCTATGGAAGATCTTCACTTGCTGCTAATTGTCTATAGACTCTAATCAAGCAGTGATTAAAGAATTTTAGCGCCTTCATTAACTTCACACCCTTCTGCCTCCATATGACAGCTTGCTCATTTCTTCTGAAATAAGTGAGATTCTCTCCCATCCTCCTGCAAAGAGCCTGCTCCTGCTCCTCTAGGTGCCAGTGCCGCATGGACTCAGGCCAGCAAAACATGTGCCTGCTTGCTGACCTTTGATCAACAGGATCAGCTAAGGAAAGGGTTCCAGATAGCGGCACAGGATACTCATGAACTTGTCTTTTTCCAGGAACACAGCAAACCCACAGCCACATTAAGAGACCACCTCTTCAGAGAGGGACTTGAACCCTGCATGGACAGAGCCTCCACCACTAAGGGCAGGAGGACAACAGAGAGCACAGGAGACAGAGAGATGGACTCGCCAGGAAACCCCTCGCCAGTCACCATGGTCCAGTCAGAGGGGACCCAACCCCTCGATCCTGTTCAGGAGAGACCAGCCCCCCAAATACCTGGCTTTGAAAACCGACAGAAAATATCAGGAAAACTACAGAAGCACCTGGAATGGAAAACGTGCTCTCAATGGGCCTGTATGCAGACTCATTCAACCCAGAAACCAGTGTAAAAATACCAGACTGAATAGCGCACAGGCCACTGAATAATGTGGCAGCATCTGCCAGGGGTCAGGAACCAGGGGGGACGCTCCCTGGGGACTGACTCACTAGCCAGAGCCATTTCAGAAATTGCAGGCTACCTTGCTTATGCCACCCAGTGGGTACAATTTTGGAATGTTCCATCTAACTTGTCATATCTTTTTGCCTTTTCATACTGGCAAAAATATCAATAACCTCAGATATGCAGATGACACCACCCTTATGGCAGGAAGCGAAGAGGAACTAAAAAGTCTCTTGAAGGTGAAAGAGAAGAGGGGAAAAAGCTGGCTTAAAACTCAACATTCAAAAAACGAGATCATGGCATCCGGTCCTATCACTTCATGGCAAATAGATGGGGAAACAATAGAAACAGTGACAGACTTTATTTTCTTGGGCTCCAAAATCACTGTGGATGGTGACTTCAGCCATGAAATTAAAAGATGCTTGCTTCTTAGAAGAAAAGCTATGACAAACCTAGACAGTGTATTAAAAAGCAGAGATATTACTTTGCCAACAAAGGTCCGTCTAGTCAAAGCTATGGTTTTTCTAGTAGTCATGTATGGATGTGAAAGTTGGACTATAGAGAAAGCTGGGTGCCGAAGAATTGATGCTTTTGAACTATGGTGTTGGAGAAGACTCTTGAGAGGCTTACTGTAAGACTTGAATCTCCTTGGACTGGAAGGAGATCAAACCAGTCAATCCTAAAGGAAATCAACCCTGAATATTCATTGGAAGGACTGATGCTGAAGCTGAAGCTCCAATACTTTTGACTACCTGATGCAAAGGGTTTACTCATTAGAAAAGACCCTGATTCTGGGAAAGATTGAAGGCAGGAGGAGAAAGGGATGACAGAGGATGAGATGGTTGGATAGAATCACCGATTCAATGGACATGAGTTTGAGCAAACTCCGGGAGACAGTGAAGGACAGGGAAGCATGATGTGTTGCAGTCCTTTAGGTCGAGAAGAGTTGGATGCAACTGAGTGACTGAACACCAAAATCTAACCTGTCAGCGTCAGTGGGTGTGCCCTGATGAAGCCCACCCACCCCTGCACCTAGGTGAGGTCTCACCCTGGCTGAGTGAGAACTCTGCCCACCACTGTCCAGCAGCTGCTGTGGCTGGGCCCATATACC